CAGGCCGGTGGGCCCCGCTGCCTGCGCCGTCCTCTCCGTCCCCTCCGTGGACCCCGAGCTCCGGCGGCGGGTCCGCAGTGCGCAGCCGCGGCCCGGCCAGGCCTCGGCGCGCTGCGGAACCTCGAGGAGCGGCGCGCGACTGTATAATTTCTGAATCTTACTAGCTAGAGTGAGCAATCGATCAGACGCTGGTAGAAGCACTCCCTCTGCATTTCACCAGCCGGACCGTGGAGTGCCTCTTCCGCGGCCCGCGCTCTGCTCTAGGTAGTCTTGATTTTATTTATTTACGCTTCTCAGGCAAAGGGGTGCTGCTTGCTGTTGGCACCGTGCAGTAATCAAGATCCCTTTCCGTGCTTGCTTTATGTGTCCTGCCACCTACTGAATATGACATAGCATACTTAGTTGTTCCTTTACTGGCCATCTAGGTTGCTTATAATCTTGCAGCATAATGAGACATACTGCAAAGAACATCTCCATGAGGTTCACATTTTTCTTTTTAAATTTATTACTTGATATGGTCTGAATGTTTTTGTCCCCCCGCCCCCCGCCACTCATATGTTTAAATCCTAACCACCAAGGTGAGGTATTAGGAGGTGCGGCCTTTGGGAGGCGATTATGAGATAGGAGGTGCTCAGTACCCCCGGGATCGGGTTTCAGGCCACTCCTGGGTCTCAAACCACTCCCACAGGACTCAAGCCACATCTCTGAGTCCTGAGCTAAGGTGGCCTGTAGCACCTATTTTCGGTAGGAACACACAGAGATTGAGATCACAGAAGCTGACTTATATAGTTTCTGTGGCCGAGCAAGCTCAGTAAAAAGGAGTTTATCCTTGTATGGAATTGACAAATGATCATGCTCTAAAAGAGACCACAACTAAGACTAGGTTACATAACCTGTAACCACCGCTCAGTTAAATATCCACTATGCAGTGTGAATATGTGTAGAGAGCCAAAACTATATAAAAGTTGAATCCAGGTCTGGCTGGTTAGCTCAAATGGTTAGAGACCCACCTGCAACACCAGGGTCAAGGGTTTGGTTCCCTGTTGGAGCCAGCTGCCCCCCCCAAAAGGTTGAATCCATAGAGATGATGGGGCTGTTGCTCATTCGCCCAGAGCCAGCCCACGCTTCACCTGCAAGGTGTGTATATCTTAATTTCTGTGCTAAACTTGCCTTTAGCAGACTGCTGCTCATTCTAGAACAAGTCTACACTTTATGTGTGAGCTGTGTGTGTCTCTTCCTTTTCTATTAAACTTGCTGTGGCTGCTGGAGCTAAGCCACACTGTCCCTGTGAAGTCTGCATTTCTTATTCTTTACATTAAACCTGTTCTCACTGTCTACTGTGACTCTGCTCTTGAATTCTTTCCTGTGGCAGAGTCAAGAACCTGTTAGAGGAGGGGGTAGGTTGAGGCAGGCCATTGGGCCTCCCAGACCTTCTCCTCTGGTATCAGTTAGATCATGAGGGTGGAACCCTTGTGAAGGGGATTAGTGCCTTTATAAAAGAGGCCCCAGAGAGCTAGTCAGCTCCTTACACCATGTGAGGACACAGCTGGAAGGTGCCCTCTATGAATCAGAAAGTGGGCCCTCACCAGACACAAATCTTGGTCTTCCCAGCCAACAAATTTCTGTTGTTTATGAGCCACCCACTTTACGGTATTTTGTTATAACTGCCCAAAAGGACTAAGACATTATCTTAGAATGGATTTGCAGCAGTGAGGTCACCTGGGCAAAAGATAAGAACTGGCATGACTAATCGTACTTGGCATTCTATTGCTCTCCAAAAGGACTGTACCAGTTTACATTGTCAATAACAAACTGTTGAATATGGCTTAAACAGTCTTTTGGTTGGATATAAAATGCCATCTCATTATTTAATTCCCATTTCTTTTATCAGAATCTGAAACATTTTTCTAGGTTTGTTTATTAACTGGAATGCCTGTTACCAAGGTGTTAGTCCTAGAATGGGTTCATTGTCCTCTACTTTCATGTTTTGCCCTTCGTTCTGGGAGACTTATTTTCCACCCCTTCTATTGAATTCAATTTGGACATAATCTTAATTTTCAAGAGCTCTTGTTTGTTCTCTGGTGGATTTTTTTTTTTTTAATTGAGGTATAACTTACAGTATGTGGTAAGTGTACAGTTTCATGAGTTTTGATAAATGTATACACAAGTATAACCACCATCCAGGTCAAAAGATAGAACATTCCTTTCTCCCCAAAAGATTCCCCTCTGTCAAGTGGCCACCAGTCCCTAGGCACAGCGTGGTGGCTGACAGGGCCACAAGGATTGCTGCTGCAGCCACTAGGTGGGCCTGCTGCACTTCCACAGCCTCAGTGAGTTAGGAGACAGCAAGCCCAAATGGATCTAGACAGCTCATTATTTACAAAGAAAGCAAAAGTAAGATCAGCATGGTGTCAGCTTCTGTGTCCCTAGTTCCACAGAACAACACTGAACTGGAGGGATGAGATGACAGGAAGCATGGTGGCAGGTCTCTCTGTGACTGAGAAGCCAAGTCTAAACTACAATCAAGCAGTAGGGCCGGCCCATGTCTCACTCGGGAGAGTGTGGTGCTGATAACACCAAGGATGCGGGTTCAGATCCCATATAGGGATGGCCGGTTCACTCAGTGGCTGAGCGTGGTGCTGACAACACCAAATCAAGGGTTAAGATCCCCTTACCGGTCATCTTAAAAAAACAAAACACTACAATCAAGCAATTTTATGGCATTCTAAGGGCAGAAGGGGACCACGTGGAAAGCCCTGCACTCAACTGAAGCCAGGAAGAGGGACCAGGCCCTCCCAAGTGTGCTAACTGGCCAGCCCCCTCATCGTAGTTATTTTAAAATTCTTGTGTGCCAACTTCAACTTCTGGATCATCTGTGGGTCTGCTTCTATTATTTTTTCTCTTGTATATCGGCCCCACTTGTCTTCCTTTTTATTTTTGCATACTTTATGATTTTTAATTGCATTTCACATATTGGGTATAAAAAAGGGGTAGGGGCTTCATTATGTTATTTCCCCCCTTTCCATAAAGAATTCCTAAAGGAACTTGTCACCTTGATGGAATCAAGTATTGAGTGGGGTTGGGGCAGAGTTATAGTTCTGATAAGACTCAGTTGTCCTCTGGATTATCCCTGTCCCTTAGGAGTGGCCCTCTCGGATTTCGGATTGAAAGTCTGACCAGTTGCTGTCTCTCTCAGCTCTTAAAGTTCTGCTCTTCTGAAATTTTAAGGTTAGCTCTTTAGCCTCCCAACTCACACAGGTTCAAACTCTGACAAATATCTTGAGGGCAGGCAGAGAACAGCTATTTGTTCCAGGCCTCCTCTCTCTAAACACTATGAAGACTGTGGGACTTGCCTTTCCAGGCCAGCCTCTTCTCAGTCCCTACACTGCCTCAGAACTCAGCAAATGTTCCATGGGGAAAATGTACTCTGCATTTTGGGCTACTCTAGTTCCCAACCTATAGCACAGTCCCTGCAACCACCAAAACCTGTTCGTTTCTCTTTTCCCCATAGGGTATCAGACTTGGGCCAAGTCTGATCCTCAGCAATGTCCCAAATCAGCAAATGCCTCAGAAAATAGCAGCTTAGGGCCGGCCTGGTGGTGCACTGCTACAGTGCGCCGCTTGGGAAGCGCGGTGGCGCTCCCACCGAGGGTTCAGATCCCACATACAGACCGGCCGCTCACTGGCTGAGCGAGTTGCGGGCACAACACCGAGGGTTGCGATCCCGTGGCCGGTCCCGGTCCGGTACGGGGGCGACACTGAGGGTTGCGATCCGTTGCCAGTCACGAAAAAAAGACAAAAAGGAAAAAAAAAAAAAAAGAAAATAGCAGCTTATCACTAGCTCACCTTGGAAGGGCCCTTTTCTCCTTGAAATTTTAGCTCATCCAGTCCTTATTTCTTCTACCACTCTCCATTCTCTTTAAAAATAAGATTGTGTTTGTCTCATCTGTTTTTTTCCTAGCAATTGTAAAGGGAGTGGACTCGAGAGCCCACATCCTACTCAAAAGCAGAAATTCTTCAGTTCTGTTTTCTACCACTTCCACTGGAGATATGGCTTCACTTTTTAGTATTTCATTTAATCACACTCCAACTTGATTTCCTCTTGTTTAAACAAGTTATAGGGCTTTTATCTTTTTGAAAATAGATGTCAACCATTTCCTGAAATTTCTCAAGGGATGGCCATTTTACTTCAAGGTTTATTGCTTTGTTCTTTTCTATTACATATAAATCTTTCCCAGTTTCTATTTTTCAGTTTGTTGTACTCCCCTACCTTGTTTTTTCCTCCTTGCAGGTGGCCAGTGTGGAGATTAGAACCCTTGACCTTGGTGTTATCAGCACCATGTCCCAATCTTCTTGACCTTCGCTGTTGTGGCTGGAAATGTTTCAGATGACTTTACAGATTTCAGTGGGAATTAGGGGAGAAGTTGAGGGTCCCCCAATCTGTCACCCCATCGCTCAGTAAACTTGTCTTAAGAGATGAACTCCTCAGAAAGCATTTTCTTCCTCTTTAGCCACATCAGTCTCCTTGGAGTGAAACTCTAACTTTCCGTGCCTCTCTTCTTGTCTCCTCCTGAATTTTGTGACTAATCCACACATCCGTAGTATCAGCTCCCTCCAACATTTATAAGCCAGTGACTTTTACACCTCTATCGCCAGTCATTACCTCTATCTGGGCTTCCAGACTTACCTGCCCACATTTTTCTCTCCACAGGCCCCTCAAATGAGCATCTCTAAACTCTCCTTCTCCCTGCAGTGATGCTCCTTTCCTTGTGATCCTGTTTCAGGGACTGACACTGCCGTCTGGTCAAAGCCTGAATATCACCCTGATCTTTCTCCTCTTCCTGTGTCTCGCGTCCAAACGCTACCAAATCATGTCAGCTCAGCCCATGAATCCTGCCTGCCCTCCTTCCCCACAGCCCCTGTACAGGCCGTGCATGCCTTCTAAAACCTGCCCCCCAGAGGAGCACACATGCCAAGAGCATTCCATGGGCACAACTCACTTTATTATTTCTGCCTGCAAGAGGAAGCCCTGGCAGGAGCAGGGATGCAGAGCAGCTCGGATGCTGGTGGCTGGGGTCCGGGACTGTGAAGAGCTGTCTGATGGTGTTAACTGGAGCTGTTGAGGAGGTACCCTTTTTCCGGCAGAGGCCACTGGCTTGAGAAGAGAGCCCTAGCCTCACCGATGCCGCTTTCGGATGCTCTGCAGCTCCTGGTAGATGGTGCTAAAGCTGGGCCGCTGCCCAGGCTCATAGGCCCAGCACTGCTCCATGAGCCTGAACACAGCGTCAGGGCACAGCTCTGGGCAGGGCAGGCGGCCCCCTGTGAGGACAGGTACAGCACACCAGGTGTGAGGACAGAGTCTGAGGGCCTCGGCAGCCTGGGGGCGCACGGTGAGCAATGAGAGCTGCTCAAGATGCACTGTTCCTGAGGAGCCACTCTTCTTGACCAAGGAACCCAAGGACACAGGAGGCCTGACTTCTAATCCCAATCCCCCCATGTGCTAGTTGTGTGGCCTCTGCAAGCCTCAGTTTTTCCATCTGTAAAAGGGATATTTTAACCCCTACCTCACATGATATGAAGGAAAAACGAAAAAATGCATGGCCTAGCACATAACAGGAGCTCACTCAGTGGTAGGTACAAGATTAGTTCTACGCTGCCCCAGAGGGAAGGTTGGGAGGTTATGGGGGGAAGAAGAGTCCAGCTGGAGCACTGGGAAGAGGCTTAGCCCTGAGGCTGCTATCACACCGCAGGATGGCCTTACCCTTTTCCACGAACTCCCGAGTTTGCTGATTGCTGAGGTTGGGATAGGGGGAGGCCCCCAGGCTGAAGGTCTCCCAGAGCAAGATGCCAAAGCTCCACACATCGCTCTCAGAGGAGTAGCGGCCTGCAGAGGAGGTGAGGCAGTGAGTGGGCTGTCCATGTTCCTGGGGCAGAGTGAAGCAGGGGGCAGGAGCCACACCCAGCCCCTGGCCCTGCAGCCCAGGGTGGACAAGGACCAGGTACCGTAGTTAAGGGCCTCAGGTGCAGTCCACTTCACAGGGACTTGTCTGAGGCCCCCTGAGGCTGCGTAGATCCCATCAGCCTCCTCTCGGGACATCCCAAAGTCGCTGATCTTCAAGACATTCTTCTCAGTCACCAGACAGTTCCGAGCAGCCAGGTCCCTGGGTGAAGCAGGGCAGGGGGCTCATGTGGCCAATGCCCCCTGCCCAACCTGGGCCAAGCACTCTAGACAAAGCCATGAACAAAAGCTGCTCCTTGTCCCGGGCACTCCTGGTCTATGAGGAGCCTGATGGTCAGGGGGCCTAGGGGTGACAGCACCTCCCAACTTTGCCCAGGGGTTGTCAGGGCCTGTGCCCCCGCTCACCGGTGGATGCAACACTTGCTCTCTAAGTACTCCATGCCAGCAGCTGCATCCCCTACCATCTGCAGCAGAGTCTTAACGCGCAGGCGTGCTCCCTCTGTCCGAAGGAAGGTCAAGAAGTCGCCCCCTGGAGGTGGGGGGAGCCCCATTGAGCCTCCTGCAGGGGCGGGGTGATGGGGAGCCTCCTGGCCAGGCTGAGTTCCCGACCCCTGGAGATCAGCACCCTCTGCTCACCCTGCACAAGCTCCATGACGATGTAGATGGGCTGTTTCTGGGTGCAGACGCCAATGAGACGCACGATGTTGGGGTGGCTGTACTGCTTCAGGATCCTGGAGGGTGCTGCTGTTTAGGCTCCACATGGCCTGGGCCTGCTTCCCACCTCCCTCCAGGGAACCCCAGTGAGGATGGGAGAAGGGCCACAAGAGAGAACTTGGTCTTGGAGGCCAGCAGCCCCATATGAGTGACCTTGGGTAGGTCCCTGGCAGCCTCTACTCCTCAGCACTATGGGGGGGAGGGGGTGGTGCTACTCATGGGGGGTGTCTCGAGGATTAAACAGCACCCCAAAAGTCAAGCACTTTACACTGTGCCATGCACAGAGGAACCGCTTTGTATGTGGAACCAATGGCGATCATGATTTTATCACGCACCTTGCTTCCTGTAGAAACTTGGCCTTGAGGTCAGGTGGGAGCGTCTCTCGACAAGATTTCACTGCCACCAGGGTGTTGTCAGCTCGCAGGCGTCCACTGAACACTTCACCAAAGTTCCCCTGAAACGGTCTTGGGCTCTTACTACCAAAGGCTTCCCCATACCGCCACCTCTTCTCCACACAGGGGACAGCCCACCTTGTGCCCCCACTCTTCACTCAGCTCCCAGGCTCAGACTTGCTCACCCTGGCCCTCCAGGAGTTTGCCCCCTATTTGGGGAACCAAGAGAGTACCCATGGTGTAGGCAAGGAAAGTTACCTCCAACGTGCCACGTTCACTGAGAGAAGTGACTTGCAAAATCCAAAAATCACTTTCCCTTTGGTTTGAAAAGCATTCTGATTTTTAGGAAAGTGACTTCTTTCCTAAGCAGGTATTTCGTAGCTCACATTAACAGAGTGTCTCCCTGCCCACACAGAAGAGTCCCCTGATGGGGCAGGGGTGGGAGTAGTGGGAGCTGAGGTGGGGGTGCCAGCAGCAGAGTCATCTTCTAGGGAGTTTTTGCTGTAGGAACTCTCCCGTTTCCTGGAGGACAGTGCATGCTGGTGGCTGGGCAGGGGCTCAGGGGTATAAGCTGGAAATCAGACTGAGGCAGGGAGGCTGAACAGGTCTCTGGAGGGTGGGCCTGAGTGTCACTTGGGGTGTGGGCGGGAGTCAGGAGAGGAGGGAAAGAGCAGGTGAGAGGAGGTGGGCAGAGCCACAGCTCGGAGGAGGCCCACTCACCCGTCCAATCTGCTCTCCCAACACCAGGTCCTCATGGTTTAATGCCCACTTGTCCTGGGAAAGAGGAGGAGTTGGGGGTCAGAAGTCAGTGCAGAGAAGGGGTGGTAGGCCCTGTGAAGGGCTGAACTTCTCTCCCACTGTGACTTTTGTTTCTTGGCGCTTCAGTGTGTTGGTCTGTCAAATGGGGTTAGACTGTATCAGGATCACACTCAGATGACTTTGGGGACCAGGTGGCTGCCCCGACTGGGTGAGCACCAGCCCAGCAAGTACGGCCCCTGGAGTGGGAGGGGCTTTGACATTCCAAACCTAGAGGGAGGCTGGTCATTTCACATCCTAGATGTAGAATGGGGACCTGGAAGGCCCTTCTTGCTCTGATCCTAAATGGGCTTGACCCACACTCCTCAAACCCTGCCCCAGGCGGCGGGGCTGGGCTGGGCAGGCTCACCTTGGGCACCGCCCTGTGCAGGACAATACCGCTCTTCTTGGTGAGGGGCTGCTGGGAGCACAGCAGGTGGTCGATGAGCAAGGGGATGCTTGGAAAGCCATCCCCTTCCAATCGGTACAGGTTCTGTGGGGCAAGGGGACCAGGGGTCAACAGCCTCCACTGCTGAGGGGGCCCGAGCCCTGGGAGAGGAGAAGAGCAGCAGGGGAGAAGGGGTCTTTCCAGGATGAGGGGCAGAGAGACCTACAAAAAAGGCACCGTCTGATGGTGCACAACTCTGCTGCCCCTGTTCTTAGAAGAGGACACACACTGAAGCCTCTATCTCATTGCAGGGACTGGGTGGTCTCTGTAGCTCCTTGCAGCCCTGCTAGAGAGGCGTCTCAGACATAGCAGCACATCATTCCACTTGGGGAGGGGCAGGAAGGGGCGGAGTAAGGCCTGGGAAGCTCGGGGCCCAGCCCCACTCACATCCATGGACTGGATGATGAAGTGCCGCGGCAGGCCGTCCCACAGCACTGACAGCACGTACTCCTGCTTGCCCTGGCTCTCCCGCACCAAGAAGTCCCCGGAATGCATCAGCAGCTCAGCCACCTCTGCCCGTGGGATGGCCCCATGGTACCACAGCTGCTCATGTAGGGGCTTTTGTATCTCAGGAACAAGCTGCAGTGGTGGGGGTAGCTAGGAAGGGGCAGGGGCAGGAGAGGGGTGAGGACGGGTCATTCAGCCAGCTCACTGGTGAAGGCCAGTGGGCCAGCCAGGGGTCTCCCACCACCCCCATATGCTCAGTCCTCACAACCACTTGAGTGGCATGGAGAGCCATTGCAGGCCCCGGGACAGGCAGAGCTGAGATGGGAAGCCCAGGCTGGCTGACCCCAAACCAAGTGGTGCCTTTTCCTCCAGGCTTCAGGCCCCCAGCCACTCTCAGAGCAGGGAAAGCCATGGGGTAACCAAGGCTGCTGGTCCCTGCAGCACACAGGGGTAGTGGAGAGGAAGAGGGCTCAGGGGTGGCAGGGTCTGGGAACATCTGCAGCCTAGAATCCCAAGGAAGAGAGGGACATCCTGGGCAGAGCCTCCTCTCTAGGGCATCCCCAGTGACTAAATCCAAACCCCATGATGGGGGGCCTCTTTGGGAGAGCATCTCTGAGACCCCTGGCCTGGCCCACTTCTTAGGGATGGGCAGAGGCGTGGGCCCAAGCTGGGTGCCACTCACCGAGAACTTGGGGCGGAAAATTCCAGAGATGTGGCTCTTAAGGATCTCCAGCGTGGGCGTCCTTCCCCCCTCTCGCTCCGGCTCCTGAGGCCAGGGACAGACGTCAGCGGGTGGCCAGGCTTGGGGAGGGGGAGGGCAAAAATGAGGAACATGCCCTGATGGGCAGGCCTGGCTGGCAGGCAGCAGCAGTGGGTGGGGCGGCTCACCGAGGATGACGTGGAGTGGCGGTCATCCTGCAGAAGCAGCACGGGCGGGGGCTCGCCAGGGCCCAGCTGCTCCAGCTTGGTCTGTAGCAGCTCCTGCTGGGCCTGCAGCTTGGCCTGGCTGCACAGTGCTAGCTTTAGCCCCTGCAGCGCCTCTTGCAGCACCTGCTTCTTGCCCAGCAGCTGCACCCTGCAGGCAGGTGGGGAGAGGTGGGTGAGAGAGAGGGGCTCGGTCTGTGACTGGCACCAGGGAGGGAAGGCAGGTCAAGGGCAGGGTAGGCCAGGAGGCTGCTGCAGGTAGGGCCCACTCACCGCCCCCGGGGGTGGGTATTCTGCTCCTCATTCTGGAGCTCGCGCTGCAGCTGAGTGACTGCCTCCTGCCGGCTGAACACCGTCTCAGTGGCTACAGCCAGTTCATCCCTCACCATGGTCAGCCTGTACCCGAGAGAAAGTCAGTGTTAGAGCTGTGCCCCCAGAGGCATCCCTGTAGGGCCAAGCAAGCCTGGCTGCCTGATCACTGCTCCTGAGCCCTGCCCACATAAGCCCCCATGGTCTGCCTGGAGCCCTGCCTTGGCCAGGGGGCCAAGCCACCACGCACATGTGCTGCACGCTCTCCACAGTCAACTCGTTCAGCTGCAGCTCCCCAGGTTCCAGTAGTTCACCCTCCTCAAGCAGTGATTCATCAAAGGTGACACAGGGGGGGACATCAGGGGCGGACCTATGGGGGGGACAGTGCCCCATCAGTGCCTAGGCCAGTAGTCCTGGTGCCCAGCAGAAGCAAAGATAGACTTACCCATACTGTCGCAGGAAGCCTTGGTACTCAGCCTTGGGCTGGATGCGGGCAGCAGCTGCAGCCATCTCCCGATGAATGGCCACCACCTCATCCTGCACCAGACTGCTGATCTCCAGGTATTCCTGCAGAATCTCCTTCCTGTTCCCCAGATGGGACCCACAGTCAGTGGGGGGCCTCAGGCTGGGCAAGGCTGGGCAGCTTGGGCCGAGGACACTGGGTTTGGAGTCAGTGCTGGGGTTGATCCCCCACATCACCTCATGTGCTAGGCCTGTTACCTTAGGCAAATTATTTAACCCCCTCCTGATCTTTTATTTCCTGATATGTATAGTGGGGAAGCTGGGAGTCATAATAAAGATCCAATGAGCTCCCGTGTGCAGAGTGTTTCTGGTACACAGGAAGTGCTACAGTCACCCCTGCCCTGGGCAGTCAGCCTAACAACTGGGACTCAAATGTCTAAATGTATAAGCCATCAATGGGCTGCTGGCTCCGTGTCTGCATCTCCCACTCCCAGCAGCTCCAGTCTCGTGTATTCATCCACATACTCAAATTTCCCACTGAATATCTCTTAGGCACCCCAACTCTACTAGCTGAGGAAAAGTGGGCTGGCCAGTTAGCTCACTTGGTTAGATAGAGTGTGGTGCTGATAACACCAAGGTCAAGGGTTTGGATCCCCTTACCAGCCAGCTGCCAAAGAAAAGGAAAAAAAAGAAAGGAAACTGAACTCCTATTCTTGTCTCCACAACCTCTTCCTTCCACAGCCTTCTCTACGTAAGTTATTGGTGTCTCCCTCTTACATGTGCTCCAGGCCAAATCCTTGGAGTCATCCTTCAATCCTCTATCTCACACTCCATGTCCAGTCCATAAGGAGATCCCACCAGCTCTACCTTCAAAGCATATTCAGGACCTGACCACTTCTCACCTCCACTGCCACCACCCTGGTCCGAGTGCCAAGATCGTTGGTCTGGATTACTGCAAGATTCCTAACTGGCCTCCCTGCCTCTATCCCTGCCCCCTGAAGTCTATTCTCAGCATAACAGGGTGACCTCATTAAAACAGAAGTCAGATCACGTCACTCTTCTCATTCACCCAGAGCCAAAGTCCCCACAAGGGCCTGTTGGACCCCGTCACCCAGCAGCCCCCCAACTCCTGCCTTCTCCAGCCTCATGTCTGACTCTCTCCTTCCCTCTCTCTGCAGAAGCTCCACTGGCTCCTTGCTTGCTTGTGAGGTGACACTCTCACCTCAGGGCCCGTGCACCCGCTGTCTCTCTTTCTGGAATGATCTTTCTCCAGACAGCCCCATGGTTCACTCCCGTACCTCTCTCAGGTCTCTCTTTGGACGTCACCTTCTCAAAGAGGCTTTCCCAGACCACTCTAGTAAATAAACTGTAATCTCTGCTCCTCTCAGCAGTCCCAGTCCCCTTCTCTTGCTTTATTTTTCTCCATGGCTCTTATCGCTTCTAATATGCTATTTTTTTTTTTTTTTAAAAGATGACCAGTAAGGGGATCTTAACCCTTGACTTGGTGTTGTCAGCACCACGCTCAGCCAGTGAGCGAACCGGCCATCCCTATGTGGGATCCGAACCCGTGGCCTTGGTGTTATCAGCACCGCACTCTCCCGAGTGAGCCACGGGCCGGTCCCCTATGCTGTCTATTTTACTCACTGATTTTCTTTCCTCTCTCCACTATCACGAAAGATCCCTGAGGACAGATGTTTTGTCTGCTGTATCCCAGAGCCTAGAATGGTGCTCAATGAATGTAATAAAACCCTGGGATAAGGGGCCCTGGAATAATGTAACGTGGATATAAGTCAACCGGTCCCTGTCCTCAGCGCAGGTCCCCTTTTCAGGTGATCACATAGCCAGCACTTTTACAGGACTGAATTTTCCTGGCCTGGTGGCAAGGCTTGAGGCTGTTGCGGGAATGGGGCAGGGCGGGGCTGTGGGCTCACAGGATGTGTGCCATCTCCTCGTGCAGGTCCTGCAGCGACTGGAGCAGGCTGGGCAGCAGGAGCTGGTGGTGGTGCTGGTGGTGCAGCTGTGCGGCCCGCACACCCAGCACGTAGCGGTTGTGGTGGGCATAGAGCTTCCATAGGCTGCGCACATATTTGTCCTTCGCCTTGTCACGGTCCTTGTCTGCCAGGTTGGGAAGGAGGGGGAGTAGGTGACAGCACAGAGGACTGGGCAGCTCCCACTCCCTGAGCACCTGTGGACAGGTCAGCAGTGGCTTGGGATTCCCTCCCTGCCAGCAAGGGAAGCCACAAACCTTTGCTGGCCTCCTGGTACTTGCGCCTGGCCTGGGCACTGTCCCGTGCCAGGGCTCGATACTGGCTCTTCAGCTTCTCAATGTCCTGGCTGTGGGTCTGGGAGAGAGGAAGGGCCAGTGTGCAGCAGGTCCCCAAGCATGGGAGATTCCCGTCTGAGACGAAGCCCTGGAAACGTCTTGCCATCCACACAGGCAGCCCATCCAAGCCCATCTTCCAGGAAGGGCCTGGAGACTTCTGGCTGCTTAGGTTAGGGTCAGAGGTGCTGAGTTTCCCTGGGGGAGGCGGAAAGGTTGACTGGGAAGGCTATAACTGTCCCTCCTTGGCTTGAGAGTGGTATCCTGGTGGCAAGCAGAGCCAGCTTCAGGCAGCCTGTGTAGTCGCACAGGGCTCTATATGTAGAAGGGCCCTGTGCTTGGTTTCTTGCTCTATTGTTTCCATCTTGAAATTCTTAATAATTTTTTTAACAAAGAACTCCACATTTTCATTTTGCACAGGGTCCTGCAAATTATGTTCCTAGTGGCAGGAACAACAGATAGCAGCCCGAGACCACAGTTCTCATCTCAGTTCTCCTATTTATGTGCTGGGATACATTGGCATACATTGGGCAAGCTCCATTACTCTCCTCTGAAGTTTCCCCATCTGTACCTGAGCTAAATGCACAGCTAGATCAGTCTTTTTCTTTCTTTTTTTTTTTTTTAAAAAGATGACCGGTAAGGGGATCTTAACCCTTGACTTGGTGTTGTCAGCACCACACTCACCCAGTGAGCAAACCGGCCATCCCGATATAGGATCCGAACCCGTGGCCTTGGTGTTATCAGCACCACACTCTCCTGAGTGAGCCACGGGCCGGCCCCTAGATCAGTCTTTTTCTTAAAGGACCAGACAGTAAATATTTTGGGCTTGTAGGCCACGGGGTCTCTGTTGAGATTACTCAGCTCTGCCATTGTAGCTCTGTAGTAGCCATAAACAATGAAAACAAACAGCCGTGATTGTGTTGCAGTAAAATGTTATCTACAAAACCCGGCAGGGCAGACCCTTGAGTTAGAATATCTGTGGAAAGAGAGGAACGGAGCCAGGTTGGCCACCAGGGGCTGCTGTGGGCCCATGGCAAGGCTAGGCTCTGCGCTGGTGGAAGGGGTGTGGTGCAGAGAGGCTGACCATTGAATGGGGGACTGAAGCACCCAGATAAATAGCCAGCTTCAATCACACAGTATCTAGACTGAGGCTCTGGGTGGGATTCAAACATAGACAAGCTGACTTCACAGATGGAATCCTTGACTGTCAGGAATCCTTGACCATCAGGGGGGCACACTGCTGCCAAGTCTCTGGGGCCCTGGGAGGAGCCTACCTAAGCCAAAGGCAGACAGACTGGCCCTCATTCCCCTCACCGTCTCGCAGACCCCAGAGCCAGTCTGCACAGGGTGGGAAGCAGAGCACAGATGCTGAGCTCCTCCTAGGCAATGACTAGCCTCACTCACCCTTGCCCTCCCGGTTCTTTTCCCAGGCACAAACAGTGCATAGAGAGGCTCTGCTACAGGCAGGGGAAGCTGTGGTAGGCCTCCAGGGGCCAGGCCTGCGGTCAGGGACTTCTACTTCCCCAGTGAATCCAGGGGCTATTATGCAAAACCAGTCCTTCCAGCATCAAAATTAGGCAGAAATGACCAGACAAGGCCCCAGTGCTGCCCACCCACCTTGGTCAGTTCCTGCTGCAGCTGCTGCCACTGCTCGCTGTAGACCTTGCGCAGCTGCTGCCGCTCCCGAATCAGCAGGCTCAGCTTGCTCAGGGGCCCTGAGTTCAGATCTTCCGCATGCTGCCGCAGCAACCGGCTCAAACCCTCTGTCTGGCTGGTGATCTCGGCCCAGGACTACAGCACAGGACGGGGAGGCAGGGAGTAGGGGACAATGACTCCCAAGCCTGGGGCTGTCAAATCTCCAACCCTTCCCTAAAGGAATCTGGAAGAGGAAGGGGGCAGGCAGGTGTACCCAGCAGTCACAGGAGTCCCATAGAAGCCCACCTGGCTGATGGGGCTGTCAGGGCCCCGGCTCTGGCCCCCACTGTCCTGCAGGGACATGTGGTGAAGCAGTCCTGCGTATTCCCTGTCACTCTTGACTCGCTGGGCCATCCACTTCCTCATGCCCTCCAGTAGACGAAGCTCGGCCTCCTGCATCTGTTGCACTGCCCCGTGGCCCTGGGGGCTGCACAGCTCCGAAGAGAAGCCCATAGTGCCGTTCTGGGGACAAAGAGGCCGTCACTGGGGCCAAGGCAGCAGATGGAGATGGAAGGGTAGGATAAGGAAGCTGGGCACTGCAAGGGCTGGAGGATCTGCAGACAGGCAGGAGGTGGGGTCCTCCCCTGCTGAAATGCAGTCATAGGTACAAAAGGGCAGCCTGGCCTGGGACTGGCCCTCATTGCTTCCTGTGCCCAAGGCCAAGCCCTACTGCCAGGGCTCCCCTTCCCAGTCCTGGTTCAAGAGCCAGCCTGGAACTTCCCTCCCCGGGCCCTTTCGCCCCCCATCTGTTACAGGGGCGCGTGTGCCGGGGTCCTCGACACGGCCTAGCCTGCCTGGGCTGGAACCCCAGGCGGCCACTGCCCGGCCCTGCCACTGTGGCTGTCCCCGCCCTTCCGCGGCCCCTACCCCCACTCGGTCCAGTCTCAAGCTCTCCGAACGCCTGCCCAGCCCCCGCCCGGCGCCCCCCGCC